CGATGGACTGCTGCCTTCTGGGTTGTCCTGCTAGCTATCCACGCGCTCGGAATCTGGCTCTTCACAAGTGGTTTCTTGTTGACACGGCTGGTGCTGGAGGACAAGTCGAACTGCACACTACCTCCAATTGAGAACACCAAGGGCTTATTGAATGTCGATCGCGGTTGCTGGCACCCTAAATCGTTCGACAGAGCCGTTGTCGTTCTAATTGACGCGCTTCGATACGACTTTACTGTTCCCGAGGATCCGGCGCAAGCTCAGCACTTCCACAATGCTTTCCCTTACCTCTACGAGACAGCTGTCAAGTCACCTCAGAATGCCTTCCTTCGCCCTTTTATCGCTGATCCTCCGACCGCGACGATGCAGAGACTCAAGGGTCTCACGACGGGAACACTGCCTACTTTTGTTGATGTTGGAAGCAACTTTGCTGGCGCGGCTATCGAGGAGGATAACTTGTTGATGCAGCTGAAGGACGCTGGCAAGAAGATTGCTCACCTTGGCGATGATACGTGGTGGTCTCTCTTCCCTGGTTACTTCGAGCCCAATATTAGCAAGGCCTATGACAGCTTCAACGTCTGGGATCTCCACACTGTCGATAATGGCGTTATTGACAACATCTTCCCGTTATTGAACAAGGAGAGAAAGGGCGAATGGGATCTTCTTATTGGACATTGTCTTGGTGTTGATCATGCTGGTCACCGATACGGACCTGATCACCCTGCCATGGGAGCCAAGCTTCGCCAGATGGACGACTTTATCCGCAAGCTTGTCGAGAGCGTTGATGACAAGACACTTCTTGTTGTTATGGGCGATCACGGTATGGACAGTAAGGGTGATCACGGCGGTGAGAGCGACGACGAAGTTGAGGCTGCTCTCTGGATGTACTCAAAGAAGCCATTCTTTGGCAGAACCTCCTCCGACTTTGCTGTTCCTCCCCCTAATGCCAAGGTTCGACCAGTGAACCAGATTGACCTCGTTCCTACTCTCGCGCTGCTTCTCGGTATTCCTATTCCCTTCAATAACCTGGGAGGGCCAATTGAGGAGGCGTTTGCTGGTATTAAGGGCAACGACTGGCGTAACCTCAACGCTGTTTCGCGTGTTGCTGCAGCTGGGATTGAGAGATACCAGGCATCTTACCACAAGGCCCGAGGACTGACTCAGGCCGACGGCGCCGAGTCTCCCGCTGCTCTTTGGGAGGCTGCTCGCGCTATTGCCAAGAATGATCGCGATGCTTATGTGGCCTTCACCAAGTTCCAGGAGACTACTCTGTCTGTCTGCAAGGACCTCTGGGCACGTTTCGATGTTCCTCGTATGATCATGGGTATTGTCGTCTTTGGGTTTGGCCTCGTCTTGCTCTTGATGTACTCATCTCGGGAGGAGGAAGATGAGTACGTTATTATGAATGACGCCGAGCTCGACTATGCCGAGAAGAAGTTGGAACTCTTGGCTTTCAAGGAGAACGAGCCTGAGACCGTGGAAGTCTTGCACAAGCAGATCCTCAAGGGACTTTGGGACCCCAAGATTCTCTTTACTGTCTCTGTTCTTACAGGTGTAGGCCTGTATCGCCAGCAGCCTATCGAGGGCCTTGCTGCTCTCGTTGCAGTGCTCTTCATGGCTGGTCTCAGCTCTTCCCTGCATGATGCAGGCAGGAGTATTCTCAATGTCTTCCCCTCGACTTTCTGGGGCTGGCTGGCTGTGATCTTCACCGTTAGCCAATCGATCGGGTTTGCTTCCAACTCCTACACCATCTGGGAAGATTCAATCCTTCTCTTTTTTATCACCACTTTTGGTGTGGCCAGTGCCGTCTCTGCATTCCGCATTGAGGCTCGACGGGAGAGATATCTAGGCATTTACCACTCCGTTGCCTTTATCATTCTCGGCCGTCTCGCCTCGTATTCCAAGCTTTGTCGCGAAGAGCAGATGCCCTACTGCACTTCTACGTACTACGCCTCTTCGACCTCTTCAACCTCTGCAATTTGGCAGCTTGCCATTCCTTTTGCTGTATGCCTTATTCTTCCAGCCATTATCAAATCTTTCCTCGTCACAAGCAGGTCGTATGAGGGTCTGGCCCCAACTTGGATTGGCTATGTCATCCGTGGAGGCCTGTTTTTGTCTGCCTTGTACTGGGTTATCGATGCCGCTGACAATGGCGGCTGGCTCGAGGGACGTCTCGCCGAAGGAACCCCCAAGACCATTGGAGTTTATCTAGCCCAGATTGTCCTCGCTCTCGCCTTCATTGCCGGAAGCACTGCTTTTGTTTGGGCGCCTCCCTGCGTCTCCCTCCTTCAATCTGCTGGAGCTGGGGGTCGTCCTGTCGTTACTATTATTGGATATGGTAACGCTATTGGTGCTCGCTACTTGTTGCTTCCGCTTAACCTTCTTTTGGGATGCCTCCTCCTTTCGAAGCCCATGGGCGGTGGTGCCCTTGCTCTTATGTTCTGGCAGATTCTTACCCTGGCTGAGCTTTTGGATCTCAACGAGCTTAAGACCAGCCCCATTGGGCCCATTATGCTTGCTGTACTTGGAAACTTCTATTATTTCAAGACGGGCCACCAGGCTGTACTGTCCAGCATTCAATGGGATAGCGCTTTTATCCCTCTCTTTAGCATCCGCTACCCTTGGACCCCCATCGTGGTTATCCTTAACAGCTTTGCGGGCCAGATCATCGCTGCCGCGTCAGTACCACTGCTCGCTCTGTGGAAGGTCGGTCCCAAGCAGAAGGGAGTTTTAGAGACAGCCACCCGCGGCATCGGCGTCTTCGTCATCTACTATGCCGTTGAAGCACTGGCTACGATGAGCTGGGCTGGCTGGCTGCGTCGTCACCTGATGCTCTACCGCGTATTCAGCCCCCGCTTCATGCTTGCGAGCACTGTCCTGCTCGTTCTTGATCTGGTGACTATTCTCGTCACTCTGACTGGCCTACGTAGCAACACCTTGTCCCTTGGCGAGGTGTTCGGGTGGGCCGATTAGATGTATTGATGGCTAGAAGCGTGTATGATATTTGTGCAGATAAGGGATTCTGTCGCATTTTAGGCAGAATGACTCTTGTGTTATCTATCAATAGGAAAGGAACGAAAATTAGGATAATGGAGAATAGAGCGGTGTCATCTGGGGCGTTCAGTCCATGCCAGTCTTTTGATTAGACAATCATATTGCAGCATGTCGGCATTTTCTTATATCCAGTCATATCATCTCTAGCAAGCAAACTAAAATACCATATCAAATTCGTCGCTGCTTGGTGCCAACATCCGCTGTTCCCTTGACAGCCATTCCTCCTTGTGGCCCCTCGATCCAAACATCCCATCGTCCTTCAGCGCCGTCTTCTTTCGAAACTTTGCGGATATTAATGGTCATGCGCTCATTGACGTACAAAGGCGCGTAGTTCCTGTAGCTGAACTTGTAGACGCCTACACCAGCGCCGATTCGGTCGTTGAGGAAGCGAAGCATCAGGGCAAGAGTGAACGGGCCATGGACCAAAAGTGCTCGATGGCCATCAACCTCTCGCGCGAACTGAGGATCGAAGTGAATAGAGTGAGCGTTGAATGAGAGCGCTGAGAAGTGGAATAGATGTATCGGTGAAGGTGTGAGCGAGGTTGAGTACCTCGGTGGTTGAGGGTCTGAGATTGGTGTCAGTAATGATGATCCTGGAGCTTGGTATGGAAAACCCTTACACTTGAGCAAACGTGGAGGTGAAGGTGATGAGGCAGGCCCTTCTTCGTCCCTCATAAACACCAACGTCCTCCTCTCTTCGATGTCCCACTCTGTCCTCCCGTCAATCTCATGGCCAGTTCCATACTTCCTCCAGACATCAACAAACACCTTCTCCTCGCCCTCTTTGCCTCTCAAGGTAACATCCTCGATCGATTCCTTACAGATCGCCGGTCTCGCATCAAGCTTCATCTCATCTCCTCTGAAAGTAACCTCGCCGCCTGCCCATACACGTCGCGTAAAAGGCGGGCCAGGCGAATGATCAGGATCTGCGCCATCAGGAATGAGACGCGAGGGAGGCAATTGGATGGGGAAGTAGACAAGATGATGGCCTTGGGGAAGAGCGCGAGGAGGCGATGATATTTTTGACTCTGTGGGCGAAGGATATAGAAGGTCGTTAATTGTGGTGGTGAGGAGATGAGAGGGCATTGGAGTCAGGTAGTCTGCTATTATCTTTGGTGCGTGGGCTTTGAGTGATGAGATTATAGATGATGATGATGATTTTGTGGTATAGGCTCTGCTCAAGACAGGACCGCAACGGCGGTTAAGTATCGATAATGGCTTCATGATGAGACCTCTTGATATTGGATGTATAAAGGCTCTGAGTCCAGTATAATGCTGGTTGCTGATTAGCAATTAGAATAGTTGCCGAGTCAAAAGTATTACACTGGGAAAGCCTCGGCTTAAAGATCATCAACCAAAATTAGGAAAATTGTATGAAAACCAACGGCAAATGTAAAAATGTTCTGTCTACGGATAGCATAGCGTAGAACAAATCAAAACAAGCTCGCAAAAATTACAGTGCTTCAATTCTTATTTCATGCTCATACATGGTTGAAAAGATTACAGCAAATCGCGGATTTCGGGCCTCGGACGTCATGATAAGCCGATCATAGTCATGATACATCTCAACAATGGTAAAGCAAAAATTAACAAGGCGACCGAGTCAGCACGAATAAACTTTTCAATTCATCCCTTACATAGCATCTATATAGATACTCATCCATGCCCATTCCATTTGTTTTATGCTGCCGTTACACATCTATCATGAAACACATGAAGCTTGCCCTTTGCGACTGGACCAGCCTCAACCGACTCTATCGGCCAAGGGGGCGCATTCCGGGTTAAATATGCAGATAGATCCAGTTCCCGTTTCCTGAGCTGTCCGTCACATAAGTAAGTAACTGAAAACTCAAAGCTGGCCTCTTATCATAAGACATCCCATTAAATTCTTGCCGCGTCTGGCACGGCTCAAGATTTGACCAGTCACTGTCAACCTCTCAATCATACCTCTACAGGTACTCGGAGGGAGTCTTGACGTTGTTTCTGGAAGCCCACGACTGGAGATCAGCGCGGCAGTTGTCAAGAGCTCCGGTGATGGCGAACTGGGTCTCAATACCCTCAACTCGGTGGGTGGAGTTGATGTTCTTGACCAGGGTGATCTGGAAGCAAGTAGCACTGCCCTGGCGAGAGATAATGGTGGAGTAGGCCAGGAAGTACTCCCAGATACGGAACCATCGCTTGCCGTACTTGGCCTCAACCTTGTCGCGGTTGGACATCCAGTTGCGGTACCACCTCCAGAGGGTAGCAGAGTAGTGAACACCGATGGTATCAATGTGCTTGATCTCGAAACCGGTACCCTCCAGCTTGTCGACAACCCATCCGAGAGGAGTAGAAGCGTCAGCACCAGGGAAAATGTACTTGTTCATGAAAAGACCCCAGGTGAAATCCTCGTATTGCCAAGCCTTACGGAGACCAGCGTACTGAAGGAAGAAGACACCATCATCGTCAAGCATGTCGTGAACCTGCTTCAAGAAGCTGCCGAAGTGGCGGATACCAACGTGCTCAGACATCTCAAGACTGGTGATCTTCTTGTAGCCACCCTCGGGAACGGGAATATCACGGTAATCCATGCAGAGAATCTTGCTCTGCTCCTCGGGGATGCCGGCCTTGCGCATGCTGCTGTTACCCCAAGCGGTCTGGTTGCGGCCAAGAGTGACACCGGTGACGTGGGCGCCATACTGCTCACTGGCAAAGCGAGCAAGAGTACCCCAACCACAGCCAATATCAAGCATAGAGTCACCCTTGTTGAGGCCAATCTTCTCGCAAACGACAGTAAGCTTGTTGTCCTGGAGCTCCTCAAGAGTCTCCTCGCGGTTGATGTCGGAGATGATACCAGAAGTGTAGATCATGCGGGGACCAAGGAACCAGCCGTAGAAGTCATCACCACGGTCGTAGTGGTCACGGACCTGCTCCTCGTCTGTGATACGTTAGTTTATCTTTCAACTGATCCTCAATTGGAGCACATACCCTGAGAACGAGTGTGCATGATAACCTCAGGAATCATGCCAAAGAGGAAGAACTTGATGAGGCCAATGGTGAAGCGGAAGCTGGCCCAGTCGTGACGGTACTCCATGACCTCGAGACAGTCACCCTTGAAATCAACATCACCATCGAAGTACATCTCGTGGAAGGTCTCCATGGGGATCTTGTTGCTGCCACGGTACTTGAGGCGGTCGGCCTCCTTCTTGAACTCGAGGTAGTGCTCGACACCACGGTTGGGAAGGCGAACCTTCTCATTCTTGCGAGGGCTGATGGAGGAGATTACAAGCCACCAAGCGGCAAGCAGGGGAAGATCGACGATGAGGGCGAAGAAGATGGTGGTCTTGAATCCACCACCAACCTTTCGGCTGAGGAACCAAGGGACAAGGACCAAGATGGAGATGAGGACATAGTTGTTGAAGGTATCGGCACCAGAGCCATCGGCAGGGAGAGGGGCGTTCTTGATGGCAGGGTACTATAGGGTGAATATCAGCATTGATTCTCTGGTATCAAAGAGGACAGACAACGCAACAATCATGAGCGTCGGTCAAAACTTACCCTGGTAGTTGGAACACCAACATCCTCAAGCTTGTCAAAGTCGGGCTTGGGATAAGGAGGAGTTTTAACAAACTCGAAGTCGGCGCCGGTGACGCCTGATTTCTCTGCCATTGTGACGACAGATCCCAATGGCTACCAAAAGCTTTGAGAAGATATGATGAAAGGGAAGAGGGAGAAAGTCGCTGAGGCGGGTTTATTTTTTAAGAGGGCGACTGGATGGAGATTTCGTGGGGCAGAACCCAAAAAGGGAGGGAGCTTTGGCCTGGGTTAGGTTGGGGAGGGGCGGTGTGAAAAAGACAGGGCCCAGATGAACTCCCTGGCATATGATTGGGTGGCTGGGCCACCTAAACCCCCTAGATTCACAAAGATTAGCGTCAGGTCGGTAGTTTTAAGGTGTTCTTTTCAGCGGTGATAGGGGGTAAGATAGCAAGTAGTGCAGGTAATTATTGCGAGATTCAATTCAGTCCAATGTCTCGGGGAGGGACGGGACAGTCCAGATCGTTAATTGCCCATCAATAACTTGTAGATCATAGTAGATAGTAAGCATGACGAACTGATGCAACATACAAGCAGCTTCTCTCTCAATTGAGCCTCCCTCCCTCTCTCTCTCCTGAGCTTAATCCCAGCCACAAAACGCAGGTACAGACACAGTCCAGCCAGTCATTCCCTCACCACTTGTCGATCAAACCCCCACCAAGCTCGTTCCAGTTCCAATTCCAATCCAACGTCTCTGAGGTCTGAGTCGATATCAGCCTCCGGATTTACCTGTCCTTTCTCTCTCGTACTCGGCTTTACCAGATACGAATTCAGTGCACGGTTCTTTCAGGGGTTCGTAGGTCTTATGCACGACACCATTGCAAGTTTAATCGGTGACCCCTCTTTTTAGCAGCTGAGGATACGTGGCCCTTCAGGACTCTGATTTTGATCCTTGGCTTTCGAGACCACTTTTCAAGCTACCACTAGCAAAGTAGTAGCTCTCTGTATCACGTTGACTCTCCAGCCACACACAATCAAGACAATGAGAATTCAGCACTGGAAGAAACAAATATAATTTAACTTAATTTAGCTGCCTGTTTGAGTGTTTCAGCTTGACCGGACCTGACAGGGCTTCTTTGCCTAAGTTAGCTGCTGGGACATAAACTCGTCCCCTCGATGCCCGTGTCCGCGGGCCCCGACCCATCTCAACACCAAGGCTATTCGCGGGGTAGAGAAACACGCCTGTTCATGGAAGAACTCACACAGGCTCCATAAGAGTATCACAGTGAATCATCAGTGACTTCATATGATCTGAATTGGGTCAATGTTTCAAATTTACTTTGTTCTTGTGATGAGTTTACTTCACCCCAAAGATTCAGATATTGCCATCAAGACTTGGTTAAGATTCGAGAAACCGTGCCAGGGTACTCCTGGACACGATTCCAGCCAGCCAGAAGTCACAGTTCGACTTTTGTCTTGATGATTCATTTGACACAAGATGCTCTGCCCTTCAGCTCCGGGTCCCATACCTTGGAGCGGAATGAGAACGTTCGCTGTTCAAGTCTTGACATAAGTACCTAGGTAGATACATGCTCATTTATGCTCCCCTGTCAGAATAACCGTTGAAGGGCATTTCAATGTTTGACTGTCAAGAAGTCACTTTCAAGGATGCAGTTTTCGCAGCATTCCCGCCATACAGAACCTGAATCAACTCTTCAAGTGTTTCATATGCTTACTGGTTTAGTGTCAGGGACTGAGGGAGACCGAATAATGTTTTGCCAAGCTTCGGCCAAGCTGACATAAAACTTTCAGGGTCCAGCAAGGATTACCAGGCTGATAACCTTATTTGACACGGTCCAGATATGAAGCAATGCTCAGGCTAAAGCTTAGTGGAGGAAGTCGTCTGTTCCTCGAGAAGAAACAAAAAGGCATTTGCGGCCCTCGGGCTGTCTTCCCAATCAAGCCCTGGGATAGGTAATGAATCATTTGATTACGGTCTCGTGACTTCATGACTGCTGCGGTTCAGGATCCAGCCTGCATTTATTATACCTTGATGGCCTATAACTAAGGGTGAGGAGGTGGTAGCACATATCAGCCGATTATGCAGCTCAATTCCTTCGCCGTGGTTTTTCTTTTTATGCTTGTGTAGCATTTGGATCAGGCCACTCGGGTGAGGACCTTGGATGTATGTTGGTCTGTCGTTGACGAGTTGACTTGTCGTTTGAAAGTTTCGTGACAGATAGGAGAGTTGTGCGCCACGTTTTTCGACATTATGTTTCTCCTGTTATTCCTCTTGGGATTCCAACGTTGTTTCCGTGCAAAAACTGACGTTCTTGACGTGTTGTCTGGTCGCTAGCCGGCGTGTTGGTGCAAGTTGATGAATGTGTCGCATGTTTCAGACGTCTCCATACCGGTTGCCTGGAACTCTGACAGTTGCAGTTTAACAGAGGTTCGGACCCCAGCGACATGAAGACGAGAGTTTTCCGGGCCATGGGTGACGTATACTTGAGACTCTTAGCGTTAAAAAGGGGTGCCATCCTGCAGAAGAACCATGTTTGGCCAGTTGCAGATAATGTGTTGTGATTGTCTGTTGGTTGTTCGAACTTTGTTGTAAGAATTGGGTTTGTCGAGTGGGGGGCTGTCGATAAACAGGCTAGGTACTAGGTTAGTAGGTAGACAGGTGATTGTGATTCCGAGAACCAGGTTACATTTTCATGAATCCTATAAGTCAGATTGTCAGTACACTTTCATCATATTGATAGATCACCTCATAGTTTGCTGTGCCGCTGCCTGAAGGAGGGGAACATGTCCATCAGACAGAGGTCTGTTTGCCTGCGGTATTTGATAAAGACCGATAACAACTGGTAGGTATTCGTTGTAAGCTCTTGCTAAGTTTGGCCAGTGTTTGATAGAAAGACCACTCAAACTCTGCTTTGAGGATGGCCAAATGATGAGGGCATTGAGTGAGTGCCTCTAAAAATGTTTGTTCGTCGAGGCTAGGGGAGGGAAGAGAACTCATGGTCTCGATCCCAAATGATAACAAGACTTAGGTATCTTAGCATAAGTTTAATATAGGTAGGTTTAGGATAAATTTAGGACACCTTTTGCTGAGTCGATTTTGACATCTTATCTCAAGGTCTGATGTTGTCTTGCACCCCAAGGAGAGGATCACCTGAGATGCCAGATGTGAGGGGCACCCGAATTCCCGGGTCTGGATGATGTCAATGCCGAGGAGAGATACGGCATCTAAGCCAGATGAGGTTACACAAGGATAACGGGATTTTCCTTGGCCTGCCTGACCCCGAATCTCTCTGGTTTTGGGATAGTGGGGACCACATTCGAGCGTTGGTGGCGGTGGTTTCGCATTTGAATGTTGCCCGATTGTGAAAGACACTAGAGCCAGAAACTAAGACACATACAACGAGAAATAGCTCTTGTCTACTTTGGATGCCAAACTACTGGGTAAGGATCTAAGTTGGTATGGCAAGCCCAGTCTTGACAATGCATCTTGCTTTTGAAATTGACTCAGCAATGTGACAGGCAATCTACTCTCACGAGGCAAGTGTGGGGGAATGAGTGAAAGGAAAACAATACCCAAACGTTAGTCCAGTCAGTCTCAGTCATTGGCACTAGCTTCGCCAAGGAACTTTCAAAGGTCTCATCTCAGTTGAGGGTCCTTCTGCGATTAAGTTTGATATTAGCTTCACACGGGAGCTCTTTTAGCTGCCGCCTGCAGTTGCAGTCCCATCCGCACCTGCCCGCAATGCCAGCACATCACAGCGCAGCACAGACTCTGATGGAAGGTTACCCGGCCGCGGCAAGTATGGATTTGGAAGGCACTCCATGGAGCAGCCAATCTTGTTTCCCAAACAGACTCAATGATGACCTCAATCACGGCGCTTGCCTTGATAGCCGCACAAGTACAGTTACATAGCACGTGCACAAGCGCGTTTAGTTGTTGGTTCTAGCAACCTCATTTCAACTTCATCTCACGAACCAACACATCAAAAAAATCATGCCGTTTCAAGATGACATCACGTTACATCCGGACGAACCCACCGCTGCCTCAACGTTTCGATGATTCTTTCATATGTATATGGCTTCAGCTGTGTTCTACTCAGTAGCGAATTTCTACCAAGGCGACAGGGGCTTCGCCCAGCGCTTGTTGACTGAACTCTGCAAATATTGGCTCTCATCAACATTAGCATTGATGGCTATATGAAATTTGATTCTCGTTCTACTTGACTGGCCATGCCGTGGATCAAGCAGTCCGATCCATATATTGAATCTAACAAGGGGCTTCTCGTCGGCCGATGTCTAGTCGCCTTGTTTACCTTGCTAATAACCACCTCACCCAATTCTTCACATATTTCAAACGCGTCCAATGGGCTGTGGACAACAAGACCTCCAGTCATCAAGCCACCCTGTGCACACTACAGCAAGTTTAGTATCAACTCGGAAAGTATAACTAATAGCTCACTGCGGGTTGGCTGGCAATCCTTCCCTTTAGTTTGTTACCAGGCATGCTTGCGACCTAGCCTTTATGGATCGTGTCCATACACACCACCCTACCAACTGTTGAAGTTCCAAGATCACGGTTTACTACCAGTCTACACAACATAGTGCAGTATCTGTACTAGTTTGCGAGTCCAGAATCATACCCACGCACCGCCGCCACCTTAAACCGGCATGCGCCATTGAACCAATTATAGCGCCAGTGACCGCCTGGCTCTTTTACTCTAAACATCGAGATTAGGCATCTCGCTTAACGAATGGCGCTTCAGCTTGCCATGGCTGGTATGCAAGCCGGTTTCAAGATAAGAAACCACAGTGCAAGCATCAGGTCGATTGTATCTGAATTGAATTCTTTCAGGCGACAAGGTGGCCTAGCAGCTGACACCTTCCATGACCAAATAACCGGGACACGATAGGACAATAGAAGGTGCCCATGAGGTACTCACCTCAAGATTTTTTGAATGTTGCTTCTTCCATCTTGCGGGACCTTTCAAGCCCCTCGTGAGACATCCAGATGCTTCTTCTTATGAGCCTGTTATTTGGGCGTCAATTGGATATCATGGCAGAGCATATCGAATAGCTCAAGTGCCGAGACCATAGTTCACTTTGATGTGTGGGCAAATGTCTCAGTTTCTTCCCCATCTGAGACAGCTAGCACAGAACATCTGCTTTGGGTAGGTTTTGGCAAATGGTTGCATGTTAGCATCACATTGGCGAATCAGATCACATTCTTGGAACCCAGTCGACGACGGCCAACACTAGGGTAAGCATGCAAGACCACGACAGGATTAGCCTGTATGATCAAAGGCGAGCTACTTGATTGTTCGTATAGCACGATAAAGTTATCTTCGGCCTCCAACGTCGGTCAATGTCCTTACACCTTAGCCATCAGGAACCCAATCTGTTTTCCAGTGGAAATCTTGGACATCAGTGAGCAGGCCTAAGATGTGACGGCCTACAACTGGTGGCTTGGAATGCTCAACATGCTGAGTAGCATTTGGATATGGCAAGATCTTGTCTCATGTACCAGCTAGCCACTCCAGTGTGCTTCCATTATCCCTCTCATGGCCACTCATGCATGTTCAAAGGCAGCCTGGAGATCACCCATGGCTATACCATGGCCAGCCCGTTGCCGCCGGCAAAAAGCCATGTTCGTTGTCACATATTCTCCACTGTAAGACTGCCGGGAGTCTTAGGTGGTCCTTGTCACCATCAGTATTCGGACTGTGGTCCAATGTGCACCCATCAGTCGCATCGTCGAAAATGGCTTACTGTCACACGCATCTCTTCGCCATCACGACACCATGGAAGCTCACGATGTGTGTTACACAAACATACAGGGATAGTGACAAACAGAGAGCGGATGGATCGTTGTGGACCAATGCAGCCGGAATGAACGCTTTGGGTCTACACGATAAGGTTGCTCGATTTTCCAATCTCTAGGTACTAATGTTTGTGCTGCTCAGATATCCCCTGTCTCTAGGATTCATGGCTTGGCATAAGGTTCAGGGAAGAAGACCCTGACGGTCCAGGTCCAGGTCCAGGTCCAAGAACGGCCCAGGCGGCGGCACAAACACAGCGGATACGCAACTCCCGCAGGTCCTAAAAAATTCAGTCGATAGGCCATACAGATGCGACTAGTCACGGCGAGTAAGGCCGACTATTGTCTTGTGTGCTGTTCCCCTCATAGCCCGGCCCCCACACAAACACACGCACAAGGCAAACGGGCATGGAGTATCCAATAGCATACGTAACTCATCATATCTCAGTTTCTGAAGTTCTGACGCTGGTTTCTGCACCACAGATACTATCAGTCGCATTGACGAAATGCAGACGGGACGGGAGACCTGGGTGAGCAACTTGTCTGTGGATTACGCTGCGGGGAAATGGCCGCAACTGACATGTCGAGCTACAAAATGCTTCAATGTTGGCCCATAGTTCTGCGCTGCAACCCATACAAACGTGGGCAGGGAGCTACATGCACAGGATGATAGCACAACACCGCATAGCACAGTACGATACGGTACTGAATGCACGGAAATCCGCCATTAGTTACACGCCAAGCCCCTCTTTGGTCTCTTTCGCTGTCTCGTCAACTGGACCCTCCGAGGTAGCCACGGACAAATTTACAGATGAGTACTTAGTCGCTGCGAGGCCTTGAAAGAACAGATAGACGGTGGTGTTACTGGCCGCGCCACCCCGGCAAAGCTCAACATGAGTTGCTGTAGAACGGTTACGGAGTACGGCACATGGAAGAAAACAGGCAGTTGACCAGAGACCGGCAGTAGGATACTGTGACTTCAGTTGGCCATACGGGACACCCCTGCGTGGTTTATGCAGAAACCAGCTCCTGTTGGTACCACCACCGCTGATCCTGTAGTTCAGACCCGTTGCCGATTGGCGTTGATGCAGTATGGATTTCTAGAAACGAAGGAGATCAAGAAATGGAGTGAGACCTTCACCCACCGTATTGGGATTGGTAGTGCCAAACGGAGGATTTACACAGCCAACTATAGACAGTGCCTGGCGACAAGGCAACGATTAGTACCAATGGCTTGGAGCACAGATGCTATCCTCTGACCCGCCGCTTTGCTGCATGAAGTTTGATACGCAAATGGGAACTGCATTGAGGGAAGAGAAATGAGGAAACCCGTCTGATGACGATGAAGGCAAGAGATCCAAGTGAGGACCCTCAAGGTCGAGCCCAGATGACCATCCTAGAGCCAAACACCCCCGTCATGGACGAGAACTAATGCTCATAAGAAGCCGGAGGTCCCGTCCCGCTCAATACTTGGAAGTGAGCACTGTTACTGCAATCAAGTCACTCGTTCGTTCATCTCAGCCCTACAAAACTACAGCCCGTCCCCCTTTCCAAAATTGCCATTGAGGCCAATATCATCTGCACAGGAGTTAAATCTTTTACTTTGGAAGCAATTCTTGAACTTTCACCATTTCCTGTTCCAACTGTCCGGGGAATTCAACCAAATATCCCACCCAACTCTATCCTCTGAGCAACTTATCATTGACAGCCTCGCCAGCCACCGCAAGGCCAGATCAACCCGTCCACGAACCCAAATGGATCATCAGGAGGTATCTCGTCGAAATGATGCTGCAATGCGTCCAAACATCAACCTGAAAGTCGGTGCCAGCTCGTCAGGACTTGTCGACCAAGCCGACCCACTGTGCGAACACAGTTCTGTTCACAATTGTGCGAACCTGAGTAAAGACGGAAGCGGGCTCTGCATCATGTGTAAGGCCTCGCAATGCGGTTAAGGAAACCCTTTGGCGACCTTGGCTGGCCATCGTGTAGATCCTTGGCGATGGTGAGCCATTCCTACAGGACCCCAGGTCTTGTCTTAGCGCTCCGAATCGATCGAACAAGGCAACCTTCAGAGGACATCTGGAGATAGGCTTGTAACCGACGCGATGGTTCGGATCATGCGGTATGGGAGACTGGTAGGGGTCTGCCTGCAGATACGCACACACACTCACGCAATCATGTAAGACATCCGTCTGTCTTGATGAAGAACCTAGCTAGACATGGCTGTGGTTCCCACGTGCTGGGGCGTAACATTGGCAGGGTTCATTGGAGAATCGGAAATCATAATGCGGGAGGGGTGAGGCTGATGGGCTTGTAAGACAAGGCACAGACGTATATGAACCTGGGCCAGTGAGAAATCTCGACTTGACGACAGAGAGTGGATGGAATTGGGGTCCTGTTTTTTTCCTTATCCAGCCAAGTCAGCATATAGCAAGAGATAGTCGACGATTTGCACGTCTACCACGGCGAAATCTACCTATCGACCCGTAATATGGCCGTGATCTTCAGGATGTGATGTGGTAGTGTAATTGATATCTATTAGTTTATTATTTAGCCGCCGTGTCCAACTTGGATGCCACTACTCCCGTACTAAAGCCACCTAGGATCTCATTAAGCGCTGTCAATCGACCACTGAATATAATGCAAAGCTCCAGATGCGCCTGTGCTAGTTATGGGATCACGAGGCTAGAGGAGATAGCGAAATGACACGCAACCTTCACAGAGAGAGCCAAGAGACTAGACGCTCCATGAGGTGACATGTGTGTTGTCTGAGTGGTTCTCTTATTCGTAGTTAAGAGAAAAATAAGTGAGGATCGGTCATCAGTGACAGATACGATTCATGCCACACTCATCAGGGGGTCATTCATGGCATCTGCAACTCGCTCCCTTGTCCAGCATGACGCTGTACTGTGCTACGTAAGACCGAGGACGCGGAGATCGATGGATGAAGCAGGTTAATATCGGGATCCGAAATAGACAATATATACGACATGCATATTCTCAAAAGGACCGTGGTGCTTACGCCGTAAGGTATCTCATAGCCTGGAAGCAAGTGCTTCTATCCCCGTCCCATTCCCCCCAGATCCAAACCGTCAATGTCGTGATTGGACTGAGAACGAGATACTGAGACTATTCGTGAGTCTAAGCCTCATAAAGTTCATCGACTTTTCCTGTGTGACAGTGGCTGAGCCAAAACGGGCGGGGTTTGCGAGACCAGGCCTATTCGTTGAGACTCGAGAATAATATAATATGATATGATCTGATGTTTCTTACTGTTTCTTTGGTCACCAACTAACTAGTCCATTACTCTCTCTCCATGTGTCGTGTATGTGACTATCCAAAAAAGGTCAGTAATAAACTTGGCTACCCGCGGGTTTTGGCAGGGGGGGTATCCCGGCGGACCGTCTCTGTAGGGCGTAGACCGGGCCGACAGTGAGAATTTCGCAGAGAGTGAGATTCTGTTAGTATATTCAATGATTAATAATAGTTGGTCCATGTGCGTTGGCTGTTGAGTGTCCAGTTCTAGTAAACTGCTCGCAGCTGTAGTGCCATGTCCCCTTCATGTCTGTCTCACAGTGACAAAAGTTGCACTATTATATGATACATGTACATGTATTGTAGGTAAGCTGATGACTGCGCATTGAGCAAATACTCTTTGCGGCTTTACGTATTCCAAGCGTTTCTCTGCA